AAAATTCCTTTGATGGGTTCGCCAGAAGACTGAACATAGCTGAAGAAAGAAACAGTGAGCTTGAATGGATATCAACTGAAACTTCCCAAACTGGCTTTAGTACATATTTCTAAATGCTCTCCAAAATGGTTATGTCAATTCATATATATATATATAAAAGTATCATTGTAGTGGCCTGTGAAGAACGGAATATACGGGACCAAGGTGGAAGCAAGGAGACTAGTTAGATAGCTGTTGTAATCATCTCATGCTGGCAAGTAATGATAGTGGTGACGGTTGGTAAAGGTGATAAAAAGTGGTTGGGTTCTAGGCATTTTCCAAGAAAGAGACAATAGAATTTGTGGATGAATGGATATGGCATATGAGAAAGTAGAGTCAAAGATAATTATAATTCTCTGGCATGAAAAACTTAATGACTAGCAGTGGTTCTCAACCTTCTGGCACTTTAAACACAGTTCCTCATGTTGTGACCCAACCATAAAATTATTTTCGTTGCTACTTCATAACTGTAATGTTGCTACTGTTATGAATCATAATGTAAATATCTGATATGCAGGATGGTCTTAGGCGACCCCTGTGAAAGGGTCGTTTGAGCGCCAAAGGGGTCGCGACCCACAGATTGAGAACCGCTGGACTAGAGCCAGCATTTACTGTGATGCAGAAGGTGGAGAAAGTAGAGGGGTAGGAAGCAAGGGCTTGATTTGGTACATGTCAAGCTTTAGATGCTTGTTAAATTATTCAAATGGAGATGATGAGTAGGTTGGACATATAAGACTAGAATTTAAGAAAGAGATCAGAGTTAGAAATCAATTGGGTATTTCAAATCAAGAGACTGAATGAAATCGATTAAAATCTAGGGATAAAAAATGAGTAAGTTTAAGAACCGAACCCGGGAATTTTTCGACGTTTATAGATGGGAGAGATTCCCAACTCTGAGCATAGGAGAATGAGAAGCCTTAGGGAGGAGAGAACCAAGGGTGAATGGAGCCCTGTGAGCCCTGTGGGCCCAAAGAAAGCATAAATAACTAACAAATGCTGCTGATACACTTTATTTTTTAAAGACAATTTTGTTTTCGCAGAGAATTTTTTGTGGTTGTTGTTTCTCTTTCTAAATGCCTTGGTGGGGTAGCTTGAGGATATTTTACTGATCTCATTCCACCCCACTCATTCCTCTTACCGTCTTAAGACAGCTTCTTTCCGTATCTTCCCAAAAGACTTAGCTTAATCATTTCTAGGACAAGGGAAGCCATTACATGAAACACAAAAGTGAAATTGTTTGAATTAAAATGACACATGTTCTCCAACCCACCACTGGGTCCGTTTTGACAAAAGACCTCCTTTCCAACTTTATTCTGTTTGCTAAGAATATCAGGAATCAAAATCACATTTCAAGCCCTAGCCGGTTTGGCCTGTGGACTGAAAGGTCCTGAATTCAATTCTGGTCAAGGGCACATGCCCGGATTGTGGGCTCAATCCCCAGGAGGGGGGCATGCAGGAGGCAGCCAATCAGTGATTCCCTCTTATCATTGATGGTTCCGTCTCTCTCCCTCTCTCCCTTCATCTCTGAAATCAATAAAAACATACATTTAAAAAAATCACATTTCAAAACTGCTATTTCTACCATTGCCATATTGTACAAGTATGATTTACAAGTGGACAGTACCTCATAATGGAAAATTCACTGGATTTGAAGTTAGAAAAGTATCAGTTGTTTGCTGAAGTCCTTGCTCACTTTTTTTTATTGGTTCTTGCAATTTATCTGCAGATTTTAAAAAATTGATCTTAAGATGATAATTTAATTGTCATTTTCTAATCTATGTATTTACTTATTCACTTATTTATTTAGTCTCATTTCCTTGGCCAAGACACCAGTTAATTAATGAATGATAGCAGTGACTGGAGAAACCTTGTCTTATTCCTGACTTTCACAGTATTGTTTCCAAAGATTCAGCCTTTAAGTATGATGTTTTCTGTAGCTTCCCACAAATTCTTAAAATTCTGAGTGAGTATTGAATTTTATCAGCATTTTATTACATCTTCTCTCTCCACACACTGTAATTTTTCCTGAAGAAACCAAAGAGCAATTTTCAAATTGAAGAGGACTGAATGTTAGATGTACTTGTACAGTTACAGTTGTCTTTTCATGCTCCTGCAAGTTTCTGAGGCTTAGATTTTTTTAAAAGATTTTTAATTGAGAGAGATAGAGAGAAACATCAATGTGAGGGAAACACATCGATTGGTTGCCTCCCACAGGTACCCCGACCAGGACCAGGGATGGAGCCTGAAACTCAGGTAGACTTTGAGACAAAGTGATAATGAGGGGCATTTCATAATGATAAAGGGATGAATTTATTTGGAGGCATAACCATCATAAATGTATATCACTAGTAATAACAGATCATCAAAATACAAAAGGCAAAAAATTTCTTTGAGATCAATGTCCAGGAGTGTGATTGCTGGGTTATATGGTAAATATATGTTTAGTTTTTAAAGAAACAGACAAGCTTCTGACCCAGCAATTCCACTTCTGGGAATTTATCTGAAGAAATCAGAAACACTAATTTCAAAGAATTATGCACCCTTATGTTCACAGTGTGGTGATTGTGGGGGGTGGGGAAGTAGAAGGTGGGTAGAGGGACAAAGATTACATGGGAAAATAGGAATTACAGGCATGGGGAAGGTCACAGTGGTTGCAGGTTACAGGAGAGGGGTGTGCTTCCAGGACTAGGTTGTTTCAGCCAGGAGGCTGTAAATTCTTCCATAATGATGGGAAGTTCTCCGGAGAGGAGAATGGACTGCATTCCAATGTTAGCATTCCATGTCCTGGGGCATACAGCTCTCAGCTAGGTTGGAATGCATTTTCTCTAATCAGAATAGAACAATCACAGTTAACAGAGCCTGATTAATATTTCTTATAACTATAGCTATTCTCCATTATTCTATTTCTGCCCCTAACAATCTCAGTATTTACTATACTGTTATTATAGAATGTACTCTTTCTACTTTTGCAAAAATAAAAATAAAAATATTTGGCCCTGACCAGTTTGGCTCAGTGGCTAGAGTATGGGCCTGTGGACTGAGGGTCCCAGGTTCGATTAGGTCAAGGGCATGTGCCTTGGTTGTGGGCACATCCCCAGTAGGAGGTGTGCAAGAGGCAGCTGATGATGTTTCTCTCCCGTGGATGTTTCTAACTCTCTAACCCTCTCCCTTCCTCTCTGTAAAAAATCAATAAAAAATATTTTTAAAAAAAGAAAAAAGAAAAGTTTGCTGTCAAACAGTATGCCATGTTAAGCCAGCAGCAGCAGCAGCAGCAGCCTCATACATCGTTTTTACTGCCTGTTTGATTGCATTATTTTTTTTTGTGTTTGATTGGATTCAGCTCTACCACTTATGTTTCCTTTTTTTTCTTCTTTTTTTTTAAGGGGGGAAAGCAATATCTGTTGTTCTGAGTCCCTTCCCCAAGCAAGAAGTCCCTTCCCGGCGGTGCTGCTGAGCGTCACGCCCGAGCAGGAACGTCTTCGGGGTCGTCCGGGTTTGGAGCAACGTCTTGTGTCACCACTTCTGCTCGGCGCCCATAGTTCTCTGTCCTTCTGATCCTTCCCCGGCCTCCCCATGTGCCACCTCTGGCTCCGCGCCCCGGACGTGGTTGGGTACCAACATTAACCTCCCGCTGGGAAGTGATGTCACTGGCCGCCTTCGGAACACAGAGGCCTCATCCCCGCAGTCATCCTTTACACTGTCATCTCTCTATCGGGACTCGGGTGTCACCACTGCTTCGGAAGGGACCGTGGACTCGGTTTCCGGATGTTACATTCAAGCTTCGGTGTGGACTGTTCTGGAAGAGTTTTCCACTCATCTAGGGTCATCTCTTGAGCCTGAATTTCTTCTTCTACCTCCAACTCAGGAACTTTGGCTGGAGACCCCTCCTCCAGGGGGTCCGGAGACTCCTCCACCACCGGGGGCTCTTCCATAGGCGCAGCCGGCTCACGTCACTGGTATCTTTCCCGGATCCCCAGGCGCGAACTCCACATCCACGCGTGATGTCTTCCGTTCTGGTCGCTATTTTATCATCCCCGCCATAGCTCTCAGATTCCCGTTTTCCTCTTTGGCCAAAACGATCAAAAGCTCTGTTCCCAGGACCACCTCGGCCTCTGCCCCGCCGCCCCCTCTTGGGCCTCCACGTCCTCGCAGGGGTCTGTCTCCATCAAACCTGCCCACTGGTGTTTCTCCTGCGACCTTCTCAGGGGTGAGGTCCGCAGGCCTCTCGGTCTCCTGAGGTTGGGATTCCCTGGAGGATCTCCGCTCGGCTCTATCCAGCGTCACCTCTGTCCCTGCTACCATTCCATCCCTGCTGCTGCCCTCTCCCAGGAGTTCGCTCCTGACCCGGGGCCTCCGGGTGCCCGGCGGGGCGCGCGTCCCGGGGCTGTCAGGCTGCTGCACGAGGGGGGCCCGGGAGGCCCTTGGGATCCATCTGGGACTCTGACCACAGCCGCAGCCTGGTCCTGCCTCTTGCGCTGTAGCTGCTGCTGGCGCCCTGCTGGGCCTCCCACAGGATGTCGAACAGGTGCGACTCATCGTCCAGCAGCTGGTGGAAGCCGTTGGCCAAGACGCAGGCGAAACTTTCCTGCATCGCGGCGCCCACGTGGCGGCTCCCCGGAGAGCCCGTCCTGCCGCCGGGGGCAGCCCACGCGAGCGAGTCTCAGTGGAGCCGGCGGCGAGGACTCATCACGTCCGTCGCTGCAGCCCTCCCAGCCCGGTGCCCTCCTCCCCGCTCCCCTGCAGCCCCCGCCGCCTGCCCAGCCCATGGTTCCTTCTTTTAAAAAAATCCGCTTTAGCCCGAGCTGGTTTGGTCAGTGAGGAGAGCACGGGCCCTCCTCCCTCCCCTCGCCTTCCACTCTCTCTAAAAATGAGCAATGGGGAAAAAATATCCTCGGGTGAACATTAACACTCACACAAAATCACTTTAATGTCTCTGTTGACCTTTTTATATATTCCTATTGGCTTTATTTTCTTCGTGGTTTCTCTTGATTTCCCACTTGAATATTCTTTTTTATGAAGTACCTATTTGATTCTCTTGTCTATTGCGGTTGTCTGCCTAATTCTTAGTGATGAGTATGACTTCTTTATATATTACGGATACAAGATTCTTGAGGAATAATGTGTTACAAATCTTCGCCCACTATGTGGCTTGCCTTTTTACTCTTATAATGGTTTCTTTTGATTTAAAAAATGTTATGATTTTGCTGTTCTATATTCTAAGCCTTCATTTTTTCACCTGTAAAGTATGGATTATGATAGTATTTCACTCATAGAATTGTCATGAGAATTAAATAGAAGAATGCATGTACTCCTGGCACTAAGTGACACTCAGTGAATATTATTTTTACTCCTAGTGCCACCTGTTTCTTTCCCCATCAAACCTTCCATTTCCCTCTGTTTCCCCTGTTTTGAGTCTCAGAGAGAGCATGTTGTAACAGAAAAGGCTGGTCATTTGACCTTGATTCATTCTTAACTTCTCTGAGTTTGTGGTTATTTGTAAAATGTGATTTCCATCAACTTTGGGTTCAATTTTCCCCTCTTTCCTATTGAACATTACTATGTTCCAGCCACTAAAAAGGAAAAAAACAAAATTGACACTACTCATTCTCACTTGTCGAGCTCATGACCCCTCCTACTGAAATGAAACATCAGTGCGAGGAGAGAGACGTGGTTCACTTTAACCACGGCCCTCCAGAGAACAGCATGCCTGTTCCCCCAGCGAGCTTCAGTCTCATCTTTCTCCTCTGCCAGCTCACAGGTGAGTCCAGCAGATGCTCCTCTTCTCCTGACTGCCTTTCCCATTAGGACAGCGGTTCTCAACCTGTGGGTCTCGAAAAATGAAAATACATCCTGCAGATATTAAAGGGTCGTGGCATTAGGAAGGTTGAGAACCACTGCATTAGGAGGTGTAGCTCCGGGTCCTGGGTCCACTCTGGGGCTCTCACTCAACTCAGGAGGCTCTGCTCCCTTATCTAATATCGCCTTTTACATCCCGTGGTCTCTGAATCACAGAGGCAGAAAGAGACTGAAGAGAGAGAAGGACCATGGGGACGGGCTCCCCTTCTGAGTGTCCAGGGAAGGAAGGGCTGGAAGAAGTGGTGTTGGGTATCAGGAGGTCCTGTGTTCTAATCACAACTTCTGCCACAGATTACCAGTAGATGAAGCATGTCATCTTCCCTGGACCTTAGCCCTCCCTCCCTTTGAGGACATTTTTAAAAACAAAATAATATCGTACAGGTGCATGTTTATTTTTTCATAAATATATATTTAGCCCTGGCCTGTGTGGCTCTATGGTTAGTCTGCAAAGGGTCACAGGTTCGATTCCCACTCAAGGGCACACAGTTGGGTTACAGATTCGATCCCTGATCCCTGGCCCTGCTTGGGGCTCATGGGGTTGGTAACCAATTAATGTGTCTCTCTCTCATCGATGTTTCTTCTCTCTATCCCTCTCCCTTCCTCTAAAATCAATAAAAACATTTTTTATAAAGTGATTTT